ACAACTGGTCCAACAGAAACGGTTCTCGTGTCCATCTATGCGTTTGCAAGCAGAATTGCATTGTTGGTGCGTTTTAAAGTCCCACGCTCAGTATTGAATCAACTAGCGTACCTCTGTGACCATATTTCTTAGTACTTACATCGACGGGCTAACAGTAAACCGTTGAGAAAATCACTGTGATTACAACGTAAGTTTGTGTGAATCCCCAATTCTCCAGGTGGTTTTAATCTTCACGGCGCATCCTAATGTAAGTGAGGTCTACGACTAAAGCCTGCTCTTTTTTAGTGTCCGTGTTGCACTCTCGAAATGAAAACATTCCAACAGCGAGGTTTCCTGGGTTCTTTCTCTGCAGTGGTAGTCGGTGTGAACACTTGCCCCTGTACGATACAGAGACAAAGTCCATGAATATTGTTAATGGTAGACTGGGACAATTGAACCTCTCTGTAATCTTCACCGGTGTCAAATGCTAGGAACTCTTGTTAGTATTTAAAACAATGGAAAATGAGGGATCGGTTTCACAGGTGTCAAAGCAAGAACCATTCGTCACAATGTAGATGACCTTCAAAACTGTCAATACGACATGGGGCACAGGATCCTTTTGTTCGCCATGGCCGGCTTCATCGAAGTGGGGTCGTGCACTTAACTATGCATACAGTAATGATTAGACAGTGTTGTGGAGTGCGGTGACACAAGACTAGATTGGTTTTCGTGCACTGCTGCTTCAGACTCTCCAATTCTAAAGAAGACGGTGCGACCACTGGAAAAAAGAAGTTTATTCGTCTGACATTTCGGATTCTCACTCCAAACCATCATGGAAGACATTCGTGGAAAAAGATGGAAGGAACACAATGGGTAGAGTACTTAAAGCACGCCGTCAGGAGGTGACTGGATGCCTACAACAATTAAGAATGTTCCTGTTGATGAAATAAATTGGTTGTCAGTCACTCTGTACCCGTATCATTAATGACTGTGATTACATCACTCTGCTTGGAAATCCTGTTGACATTATTACGCAAAAAACAAGACATATTTTGAATCCATGGCCATAAGCTACTCGGTTTGGACTATCACGCAATGATTGTATCAATTCCACGTCAATCGATGAAGATGGGTGCTGCTACCTAGTGTAGATATGTGGTGCGATAGCAACTGTACCCAGTATATACTTATGATCTTGTAATTACGTTGATCTCGCCTGCGAATGCCCCTTCTAAATAGTTAGAGTATGAAATTATAAAGTAAGGCCAATTAGCTTCTTGCTCCAGCAAACACATCTTCTTTTAAATTATTTTTGGAACTCGCCTGTTCACCTTTACCGGCAGTAGTGACAATATCACAACTGTGCATGACTCAGACTATGCTACCATTACCTGTGATTAAGGATTCCCGATTGAATCCGAAACGTCAGGAAAATAAAGCTCTTGTTCCAGTGCTCGCATCTTCTTCTTCTGAATATCACAACTATTGC